ACAGAAGTAATAGAACTTTTCCTTTCTTGTTCATCCTGTCCTGAAAACTCAGGTGATGCTCAGAGCCTACACGTGCTTCTCCCCTGGGCTATACAGGAGTAGAACCGTTATCAGGGCAGCAGTGCACCACAGCCAACTGGTGATGCTGCACAGCATAGAATTAATTTGGGATAATCCCACACTAACTGGTTTTTGTGGCCTCTGGGACACAAGATAACAATATAGCAGTTTTACATGGCACAAAGTGATCTACTTTTCCTTCCCTGAGATGGAGAATCAAAATGTGAAGCTGGGCTCAAACCTTAACTGACTAAAAAGCAGTTGATTAATTGACAATTATTTCTGATGACAAACTGACAAAAAAAAACAAGTGCTTACTGTGAACTGCAATCTTCTCTTGCATGCATTCAGATTTGTTTTGGCAGCTTTTCTAATGGAAAAACATGGTATTATTTACCATATCATGCACTTCTACTTCATTCAATAGAACCATAAAACACTGCTGTGTAAAAACATGAATGTTCCTAAATTTGCTCTTCCAAAATCTTAGGTGCACTTTGCTAGAGAAAAGTAAATTAGCAACATATGAGGCTGCAGTATTTCAATAAAGTAGAAGTGAATAAATAATTGTGATACCTGTTACACTTTATTAATTCATGTTTTTGCAAAATCATAACATTTTTGCAAAATCCCATAACAAATGGGATTTTTATTAAATTATCCCCACTGACAACCTGAGATTATTTTAATTCACCACTGAGACCCTACCTCTGGTTAAATAATTTTCAAGTCCTGCTGTGAATTTTTATTTTCAATAAAATCACATTTAAAAGATGTTTTCTGTTAAAATCCATTCTTAAAATACATCCTAAATGCAATTATAAAAATCAATCAAAACTTTAGTCTGACAATCAACATTCTTAGTTTCTATTGAATTAATGGGCTGTGTAGAAAGAGTTATTAATTAACATTTCTTTCTTTAACACATGGTTCATGAAGAAGGCATGTGCTGCTGACAAAGTGCTGGTAGATGCTAACTGGGGAAACATGCCACTTACATAAATTCAATTTTTTGTTTTATGAAGTTTTATAAAATCTCTGCATAGAAGAAAGGAAGTGAAATACAGGTGAAAATGAAAAGCGAATAAACAGTGGAATCTTGCTACGAAAAAATTCTGTTAAAGTACTGTGAAAAGTGCTACATTTTTTAAGAATTAAGGCTAAATCTTACTTTCCTTATTCACAAAACCAGGTATAATGGTGTTCATGAGAATTATACAATTGGATTCAGTGAAAATACAGGCTGTGACACTTCAGTTATTCTTAGGAACAAAAAGTGCCATTTAACTCTGCTACTGTAGTTAGGGACCTCATTGTTAAGGACTAGAGAGGAGAAAATCCTGAGAGTTTTGATGCATTCAAACATATTATCTGAAATTTAAAAAAAAAAATAACAGAAGGCCATTTAAACTTTCTCTTGCTATATGTCAGGAAGATTTCAATGATGAGCCAGCATTCACAATCATTTCTATACTGTTTGACTTCAATATGTATGGATAAAGGAAACATACATGATCTCTTCACCTTCCAAAATATAAATTTGGAACTGTCCTTGTACAAAAGATATTTCATCATCCACACTTTTTGTCTTCAGCAGATGCTTTTGTATCCAAGCCTGCTCCCACGGAAATAAAAAAAAACAAAAAAACAATGCAGGTCTTCACTACATTGTTGTACAAACATCTTTTACTTAAATAAAGAATTTGTCTAGCAGAAATCTTAATAATATGCATTTTTACTATGTCACTCTCTACCATTATTCATATTCTCAAACTAAAACTACAATTTCTGTGAAATGAATGGTTTGCATGTTTTTTATTAGCTACCAATAACCTGCCAATAAACACTGGAGAACTTAAAATTGATAAAACTTGTTTTATATGCTGCTCAATGAGTATTTTGTGAGTTGTGTTCTTTGAATTGATGCCCATGGCTCTGAGTATAAAAAGCTTAGCAAACGGCACATTTATTCAAGCAATGTACAACTCTTTTCTCACTTTTAAACATCTGTGTGTCCTCTTCATGACTTTAGCCTTTCTAACACTAAAAAGTGTTCTAACACTAACAAGTGTTTAGGATTTGTAGTTGAGAAACAGCATGGTTGCTTCTGCTGTCAGTCTTTATTCATTACTCTATTAATAGGAGGTGCAATAAAAGCACAGATTTACAACTGTACGTTTTAATTATTGCTTCTGAAGGTTTGTATAATCGGGAGAGGTGATCACTGCTCCTTTCTGCTTTGGAATTTTCTCCTTCAGCGCCAGACACTACGGAGTTATTCAATAAGCAGACAGCTTTGCTCTTTTCATCAGTGAGTCATGAAAGAGTTGACAGTGTGTTAAGGCCATCTCAGCTTCAGTCTAACAATCTGATTTGTTGGCTCAGTTGATTTACTGCATCTCGATTTTCTTGATAAATTCCATGTGAAACCCAATACCAGATACCATGACAACATCTTTATCTACATGAATAAGTTCATATTGGTCCAGATGCAAAGAAAAAGAGACATATAAATCTGAGAATTTTGTAATGAAAATTTAAGAGTTTCACAGGTCTCACAGGCAGAATTTTTTAATTCACAGACAAACTGTAGCTAAATTTAGAAGTGATATTTTGCTTTTGGACAGTCGTTGTAAATCTTACAGATATTAAATAATTGTATCTTGTTAGCATGTGTTACATAAGAAGAAATCAAAAGTCCTTGCTTATTACACATAACCATTATGAGTGTAATAGCAAAAAAAAATGAAAAGAGATAATTTAATAATCAATTATAAGACAAAAAGAAACCCAAACCCAAACAAGCATAGACTTGGATTACAGAACAGATCCAAAATATATGTTGTGTAGAAAACAGTTTGATTTCCTGGAATGAGCAGCATATCAGGTGGTTACCCTAAAAAAATTTGTTACTTTTGCAGCTAGTTTCTAAATTGTAAGGTAAGTTTAAAATGTGACTCTCCTGTTTACTTATTGAAAGTTCCAGCTTTCCTGTATTCCAATTAAGTAACATAATTACATTTCTTCCTACAGTTTATAAAGAACAGCAATATACTTTATAATAACTGCAAATCTTTGATACATTTTCTCCTTGTAAACTTGTCTATGCATTTTGTACTTATGAATTTAATCAATTCTGGACAATAGTGCACCTCATGATGTAACCTGTACATATATTGTGCTCTCCTACCCAAAACCACATTTACACAGTACAATTTCAATTTCTTTTACATTTAATTGGTAATCTAGAAACCATTTTCTGGGGTACTTCAAATGCACATTTCTGAGAAAATTATGGTACATAGCAGGACTCCACTTGGATAAAGCTTACTAGAAAATCCATAAATAAACCTAGGAGTAGCTATTACTGCTAGAAAATAATTGAAGTAATTTATTGCTCGGACAAGTGTTTTATGAGAACATAAATCACCGGACTTTGCAGGCCTATTGATAATAGGCAGTAGTGACTGAAGGAAGTGACAGACTGAACTGACTGAAGAAATCTGTTAAAAGGATTTCAAAAATGGTATCAGGAGAAATCTTTGAATGTCAGGCATACCCATTCTGAGGGTTCTGTTGCCTTTTAGCACAAAGCAGAGAGTAGAATGCCATTCTCTTACTGATTTCATGAATGGCATCACTGTGAATTAGACAAGTCAGTTTCTTTTCAGTTGGATACAAACATTGCAGACAGCCTTGAAGAGAGTGTAGGTTTATACTGGAAACACTGGTGTACAACAGCATGTTTTAACAGTTTGAGGCCAATCTTCATTATGTTGGTGGGTTTCCTCAGATGTCATGTTTAATGATAATGTGCTCTGGAATTCCTGTGAAGAAAATGCCTCAGAGCTCTTGAATTGAAAAAGACTTGTGAAGACAAGATATTGTGCACAGTAATTTTTAATAGCCTATGCCTCTCAGGATGTCTAGTGCTTACTAATCTTTCTGATCATCAGGAATTAATTTAAGAGAGAAAGCAACAGAAGCCTAACTGCGGTGTAGCTTCTCTGAGGCATCCTAAATCTCAGAAGGATTTTACTCTTGATCTCAGAGTACACTGAAATACAACATTGACAGAGATAACAAGCAGGGATAAGCAAATCCAAAAGAAACCCAGCTTAYTCAGCAGCTGCCTAGAGATACAGAATACCAGACCCACCAATCTGAGTTGGTTATTTCAGATGGTGAGGGAACTGCAGCTGTATTCCCTGAGAATTAGGCCATGCTCCCATCTGGCAGGATTTTGGAACCCAAAATTTGAATGGACTGCAGAAATTAAGGGAGCTAAAGTCACTGTTCTAAGGGTCTAGTGGGCAGTTTAAGTATCTGGACAGCTATACCTCAGTTCTGATTTGGTTACAAATACCGAAAATTCTTCATGGCCCACAGTCTAGCATGAATTCCTCTCCTTTCAGTGCACTGGAATATGTATCAGCAGAAGGAGAACAGATACCAATGAGAATGATAATATGCTTGAGATCAAAATATTTAAAGATGCTAACAAAGATTGGTATTCAGTTACTTCCCCAGGAAAGGAAAGTCTGAAGTGCCACACTAAGGTGGGTAGTTCACACATAAGGAGGGAAGAATTTCTTGGTGCTGATCCCATTTTACCACCTGGCCCTAGTGCCAGTGATCTCTGACAATATAATGACACATTAAGGATAGTTTCTAGGAAAAAAAAATACAAGTCAGTAAGTACTCCAGTCACCAAAATGACACATAGCCGCCACAAAGCCAAATGCATTTAGCATGCTTCCCCTGTGCAGATTTTATACCATCATAGGACATAGAGTCTTAAGATTTTAACTCCATCAAGACACAGTAAAAGCATGTTAACTCTGAGCATATATTAAGCAATTTAACAGTGATGAATAATGCCAATGAAGAAGATAAAATATACCTAATATTTAATCAGAAAAAAAAAAAAAACCCTTGAAACTAAAATCCCAGAAACTAAAACAACACAAAATCAGGAATCAGACGTAGAATCATAGAATCATAGAATGGTGTGGATTGGAAGGGACCTTAAAGATCATCTAGTTCCAACTCCCCTGCCATGGGTAGGGATACCTTCCACTAGACCAGGTCGTAGAGCCCTATCCAACCTGGGATGAGGACTCAACAACCTCTATGGCAAACTATTCCAGTGCCTCACCATTTTTTCCTAACATCTAATCTAAACCTACCCTCCTTCAGCTTGAGGCCTTTCCCCCTTGTCCTTCTCCCCAGGGCTCATCTCAATCCAGTCTCTGCCTAGCCTGTGTTTGGGATTGCCCCAAACCAGGCACAGAACCTTGTGCTTGGCCTTGTTGAACTCCATGAGGTTCTTATGGGCCCATCTCTCAAGCCAGTCAAGATCCCTCTGTATGCCATCCCTTCCCTCACACACTGACCATACCACACAGCTTGGTGCCATCTGTAAATTTGCTGAGGGTGCACTCGATCCCACTGCCCACGTCTCCAACAAATACCCAGTCTCTGTTAAATGCCAGCCCCTGAGGAACCCCACTTGATGTGCACTCAAAGTTTCTCACAAAAACAGGCTTGGAGATTTTAGGGCTGCAATGATGTCTCAAATATTAAGGTTGCACACATACACTGCATATACTCATATTCCTCCATTTAAGAACAGGTTTCAACCCTAAGAAAGATAAATAAAAGACTCTAAATCAGTTAGAAAATGCATGCTGTGCCACAAGCAGAATCAGACAAATACCTGATGGAAAGCAGGTATATCCCGTTACTTAGGGAGCAGAGCAAGAAGTGGTCTGTGACACTGAAAGAAAATGGAGATTCTTTCCTATCAAAATACTTAGGATACAGTTTACTTTATGGAAGAACTTCTGGCAATAACCATGAAGAAAAATGGTTTCATTCATCTTGATTACTTTCAGGGATTTTTCCATTGTGTAAACAATAACTCATATGTATTCAGCCATCCAAAGCTTTGAAACAGCTTCAAGAACAGACAGCAACTACTTGAATCCAAACTCATCATATAAACCTCTTGATAGTTATTATTCTAAGAAGCACATCGCCTCTGTTTTTGCCTGCATAGACCACAAAGTACATGAAAAGTACTGAAAGAGCCTGAGAAGTTTTTTTGGGGGGGGAATGCAAATTTATTCAGACCTTTTAAAACAGAAGAAAAGCATTGGTGCTAATCCTAGAGATGCACTTGTTTTTCTAAACTGTTGCACGTGTTCTCTTAAGATAGTAATGAAAATTTAACTTTGAATTTATCTAGCATTACACACATATCAGATAAAATTCACAATAACCTGTATACCCTTCGCAATTGCGACTGTGTTCAAATTAAGCCAGATGGGGCTTGCTCAAATGAATATTTTTGGGCCATAACAAGGTACTTTTAAGCAATTGTTTTCAGTGGGAAACTGTGCTTTCTTTGTTTAGACATCATATATGCCCAGTTTTTAGAATTTGGTCTGAAAAAGCAGAAGAACAAATTCATAACAGAAAAAAGGCAATTTCTTCCCCAAACATATTTTTTCAACAGTACATAAGATAGGGATGACAACCCTCTAACATTTCCCTAACAGTTAGTCATCATGTCTTAGCAGAACATAATATAATAAAACCTCTTTTTCTAGAATTTTTGTTCACCTTTTTTCTTTTTAACATCATGCACTTTGGATTGTCTTTTTATATTAGATATTACTGGTTTGGTTTTTTTTTCTTCCAGATGCTTAGAGGTTAGGAAAGGATTTTCTTTCGATTCCTCACCTGGCAAAATTATTCAGCAGCTTGTTAGTTTCCTCAGTATTCTCTATATTACAAAAAGTGGCATGTATGGAAGGCCTCATTTTTCTCTAAGCTCTACTGCTCCACACTTGCAACTTCTGTTAATTTCCTTGAACATTGAAGATGTTCGGCACCTCTAAAGATTAAATATTCTGGGGCCAAATAAATATCAGAAGCTCATATGCTGGAACCAGTGGAGCTAATAAGGACTGGGAGTTCTAACATAGATAGCAATGAACTTAGAAGACATAAAACCAAATTATTTCTTCCAAGTGAATACATCAAGAAATATGTGACTTGTTAGAAAAACACCTTACTTCTCTTGAATGGCTATGTTCACAAGCTCTCATTATATTGTGCAAACTGCAACAGAGTAAGGTCCATTCCTACTGACATCTCAGTCTTAGTCTAATTACTGTTATTGTACAATTAACATAAAAGTATTTTTTGTTATTCTCATCTTCTGTGCGTATTCTCCCCTTTTCTTTCTTCCCCTCTTCTTTGTCTTTAATGGTGTATTTTAATATTATTGGTTGTCCTGTTTTTCTGTGCACTAGTAGTTAATTGTATTCTAATAAAAGCACTAGGACTTAGAAAAGAAACTTTGTTTTTTTATTTGATGGAAAATCTGCAAGTTTAATTGAGATAAATACATCAACAAATAAATTTCCCACTCATGAATGCAACACAGCTACAAGAAACTGCCTAGGAAGTTTTAATTCATTTGGGTACCAAAGTATTTATACCCAACAGATTTGGGCCAGGTAATAGCTTTCCAATACAAACCAAGGATTACAGAGTGAATCCCAGCAGGCAGCAGATTCTTAAGCACTGGGAAATCTCACACTGGATTAGAGCACACATATTTGCCTTTCAGAGTGACAGGCAAATGAGTGCATGCAGGAAAATGCCTGAAGGAAGAAGGGGTTAACACAAAACTGTCCTCTGCAGGTAGACCCTACCCAGGCTCTTCTGTGCTGCTCTATATATGAGCTGGTCTCGATGACCTGAAGAAGAGGAAGCACAAAGATCCTATTTAGTCTATGAGCCTCTTGTTTACAGTGCAGGTAATTTTTCTGTTACACTTTGCACCATCTGAATTCAGAACAGAAAAAAAGTGAGCCTAGTCTGAGATTGCTGATACCAGCCACTGGTAAAAATTGAGAAGGTTATCTTGGCATTAGAAGTATCAAGAGAAAGGATATTGATATACAACCACAATACCTTAAAAAGAAAAAACATAAATGTTATTTTAAATAATAATCACACAGTATGGACCATAATATTTATAATAAAGAATATGTTCAACATTGTTTAATAACTGACATAAGGAAGCAATCCTATTTATAAAGGACATATTTATTTCTGAAGGTTTAAAGCAGCATTGCACTTTTTTTTTTTTTGCATATGAAAAGCAAACACTGTATTTGAGGAATCAATTAAAAATAACACAATAAAAGGGAGGAAACAACAATATCAGTTCAGAATTTCCAAGCTCTGCAATTTGCTTCCACTTAAAAACATGACTGGTTCTTCAGAGCAATAACTGCATAGCATCTGGGGGACTTCACAGGATCAAATAACTTCACAAGTCCAGACCAGGCAATGTTTTCCTGAAAATGATATGTGATTGAAGTGCATAAAAATACGTTTGACTTATAAGCTAAGATATAGTAATAGGCCCACATTTTGAAATACAGAATTGAAAATAAAAATAATTACCCTAATACAAAGCAGGAAAATCACTTATAAGAAAATCAGGGAAAATTTGTTGTCAGAAAAAATAAACCCATAACAGGATGTATTTTAAAGCCATTAAATTATTTCTGGTGCTATCAAATGATAGATTTCCACCCCCTTCATTAATAAACCTTTGCTTTTTGGTGGAACTAGAGCAAAGAAATTAAGGATTATGTCATGCTCATTTTATGTAGCACATTCTACTACTGAAGATAGAATTAACTGACTTTTCAAATTAATCAGACCAGCTGGATCTGGTCATCATGCCACATTTAGCTTTTATAATTTCTATTTTTCTTCCTGAACACATTTTGTGAATCAAGCAGTACAAGATCAAATTCATGCTTGTATTACATTTAGACAGGGTGAATTAGTGCTATATGCAGTAAGTTTGATCTCCCATCTTGGAAATCATACAGATTTCTATACAATTTTAAACTGATTGGCATTTGGGAAAATACATCATGTTTAAATATTTCAAAGTACCTCTCTGTAAAAATTAGTTAGAACAAAAGCATGCATTTACTACAATTCAGTTGTTCCAAGTGCACTGTGACAGAGACTAAAGTGAGTTTTCACTTATGATAAAACAGAGCTGTTAAAATGAAAGGTTTATGGTGGAAAAACACAGTTTTTCATATGAATGAGTTTCAATTTTATTTTAAAACTTTATTTTGACCATGGCCCAGAGCAGAAGCTGGAAGATGCTACCGTTTCCTCCTAGCAAATTATTTGTGTGAAAAATATTTACTGGTGCAGAAAAAGTATTACCATTGCTTTCAAGTCAACCAGGCCAAGTCCAAAATTAGTATTAGAAGAAACAATGTAATGGAAGTCATCATGGAGTGAATATAGTAGCATTTGCTTATTATATCCCAGATCTATACTAGTAAAATATGTGCAGGCTGTATGTTAGTCAAATGTAACTCAGCTGACCCATACAGTTGGAAAAAGTGCACCCTCTCTCATCACTGATCTTAATTAAGAAAGAGCAAAAGAAAATCATAAACATTTTGGATCCAATTCAAAATTTCTTGAATTATATGTTCCAAAGCACATTAACTGGAAGTTCGAGTATTTACAGCACAATGTTTGTTTAGCGTTTCCAAATCTTTTAAAAATTATTTGATATCTCATTATGATGTATAAAATGAGATTTGTTGCACATTGATTAATTTATTTTTCACTGTCTATTGAATAGTAATTACCATACAATTAAGAGAGCATAAACTTTATTGTTGCTGCTTTGTTGAAAATAAAAACATCTGCTGGGCATATGTTTATACCAAATGGAATGAATGCTTATACTTTTGCAAATATGATGAGAATAATAATTCTGCAACAGAGACTTTTCATCTGCACAGTAATAAATTGACTGAAACAGCCTCATTTCACTGATGTAACCTTTAGGTATCATAAAAGAGAATGCAAAATACCTGCTCCTTGAGGTAGCAAAGACGATCCAGAAGTATCAAAACTTCTATGCAAGGAGCCAGAACAACCTTCAACTGAAAAGAAAATTAGATACTATAATCCTTTTGGGAAAGACAGGCAATACACTTCCAAAAGGCTACATTTCTTCAGAACAATTCCAGGAAGGTCAATCATTTTTTAGGGGTTCTGTTGTACAAATGTCACCTTGCAAATTTTCCCTATGGGATGGACATCTTCAAAACAGATTATATTAAAGATCAAAAATATATGGAGTGCCACAAAGTCAGGGAACGATATTTAGTTGGTTTTCAGACATTGTCCAACAAGAAAATAATATTAAATGTAGCAGAATAATTTTAAAGATTGAAATACTGAATTTTAATAAAAAAGAGTTTTTTATGAAATAATTGCATGGAGACCAGTCTAGGTTTAAAAGGAGACTGACATTCCATTTTCCAGTGCAATAGTCCCCCTTGAAAAGGAATCTTCCATGTATTCACTTTATTACTTTACTTACACCTAATATAGTTTTGGAATAGGATATGCTCCAAAGTATGGAAGGGGGAACTGCTCTGTTTTTTGAGATTGCATGCCACCTCCATATAAAACTTAACAGAGCTTTGCTCTAGACTAGCACATGCATAAAAGGTAATGGTATTAATCCCACAACTTTTACCATATTAAATGCCTCGAGTTCGTTCATTCTGTGCTTGTACTTTTCATAGTAATTCATTATACAGCTGTCTGGGAGCTGCAAGGGATTGAAAAAAAAACGTATCAGAGTTATTCTAGTTACTTTTTCAAGAGAACTTTAGAATTAAATATGGTCGCACTACAAAATGAAATCTGTGTTTGTTTTTGAAATTAGCACTTTGCTATATTTACAATAATTTTCCAATCGCAGCTTTTCAGTTCTAATTTATAATAACTGTTCTTCGGACAGCATTTTCCACTGACATGAAATACTGAGATATAACTATTATTCAGAAAGCTCCAGCCATTCTTAAATGAGAATTACACAGTAAAGTGGAGATAACATTCACATTTCCTTTCCATGTATTTTATCCTCTCCTCACTCCCATGCCCAAGAGATTTATTTAAATAGCTGAGAATTAAACTCTGCTTCAGAGTTTCACATTCCAAAACCTACTATCACATTCTGGAAATAATATTTTGTTTCTCTGAGCCTAAAATGGCCCATCTTTTCTTTATTTACTTTGAAATACCACGTTCCCCCTCTTCCCAATCACCTGATGTGAGATTGCCAGCACTGCCACCACTGTAAATGCTGCAGTTTGGGGTGAATCTGATACAAAGACAGTTCATGAACTTGACTAAGCCTTTTCAGCCCTTGCTGGCCAGTGCAGCACTCCAGGTGCTGCAGCTGTGACCATGACTACCCTTCACAAAGTATGTTCTCTATAGGGCAGCCAAACCACCACATCTCCTGGCTTTTGAAGGTCATGATGTGTCTGCTCCACTGACCTCAGTCCTGGACACTAAACAAGACACTTGAGCTGGCCACATAAGGAACATGCCAAAGAAGTGGGAAGTAGGTTTGCAGCATTATTGGGGACAGAGGCTGCTGTGAAGAGCAGAGCTGAAAGGGCCAGATGCACTTGTGAAGTACTGGGAGTTTTGAAGGACGGCTTTTCTGTTGTGGCCATGGAATGAGCGAGTCCAAACTTAGCAGAAAAGTAACAGCTCTGATGGATGTGCAGATGTGGCATCGAGGGATATGGTTTAGCAGTGGACTTGCAGTGCTGAGTTAATGGTTAGAATTGCTGCTTTTAAAAGTCTTCTTCAGGCAAAACAATTCTACAACTCTATGACATAAGTCTAGGAAAGTTGAAATGCTTAATAAACGTTTGCAAATTTTATTAGAAGAATCATCTGAGAGCATGTGGCTAATCCAGTTGCAAAGTAGTAAAATCTTTGCCTAAAACAGGGAAACAAAACGGGAAACATTTAAGAAATATATTAAGTTTCCCAATTATCTTGGGAACTTTATCCTGGGACAGCCAAGAAGGGACTGAAGTGACCTCAGAACTATTACACATTGTCACTGGGTTCTCAAAGAGAGTAGTCAGACAGATATATATATTTTATTATAGAGCAGACAGTTCAGATTCAATGCACTGAAAAAATGGAACAAATAAAAGGATTTAAAACCATTGAAAGATAAGCAAACGAGTAATAATCAATGTGAATTCATCAAGAATAAATCACAAGTCAGTCTACATTTGTAAGTTAGGCAAAAGAGTTCATGACAGAGAAACGCAACTGGTTCTCATATATTTTGATTTCAAAAGCATTTTTCGTAACAGTTCACATAATAACTTTATAAGCGAATTTAGGAAATAAGCTTCAGATTAAAGTACTATAAAGTGAGTGAAAAATGTTTGAATGACCATAACTAAAGAGTAGTTCCTAATGAAGCTTTTAGCAACAGGAAGGACCTGCTGACTGGAGGACCATTAGAGAATGCAATATTTTCATTAAGGATTCAGACAATAGAACAGAAACCACATTAGCTCAGTCTGAAAATGTGCAACAGGAAGGCATTGCCAGAACTTAAAATAACTTTCAGAAACTGGAGCATTGCTTAAAGAAGTTTGAAATGCTGTACAGAAAAGTGGAAGGGACTAGGCTCAGGCAGAAATAATCAGCTGTTCAGGATGGAGAGCACCAAATGACAGTCGGGAAGATCCAGTAGATCATAAGCTGAGTGAGAGTCACAATTGTGCTTCTGCAAAAAAAAAGAAGCAATCACCATTCTGTGACACGTATGGGAGAGCAGCCTGCAAAATGCAGGAAGTAATCCTTCAACTCTGGCAGTGGAAAAGCTCTAGCTGGAATACTTGCATCCATTTTTGGGCATCAGATTTCAAAGAAAGAAATGAACTGTCTGAAAAAGCCCTGAGAGAGAAAAGAGATCAGAGGTCTAGAAAACATGACCTATGAAGAAAGACCCAGAGAACTGGAACTAATCAGGCTAAATGAGATAAAATTGAGAGTGGGGATAATAACAGTTTTTACAAGGCTATCACCAAGAAGCAAGGAACAGTTTGTTCATTGTGCCTGCAGTGGATACGGCAAGAATTAATGGGCTTGAATTGCAGCAAAAAAAAAACCCAAACACAAAAACCTGAAGAAACATTTTCTCTTAGAGGTTAATTAGGGACTGGCAAGGTTGTCAGTCTCCATCACAGGAAACTTTTAGAAGACTGACAAATATTGTTTTCAGGAATGATGCATAATTCTTACTCTGTTTTAAAACAAAAGGAGATTAGAAACACTTTTGTAGTATTTCAGTCATATTCTTTAAATTTAGAATAAATTAAACTGCAAAGGCAAGGTTGAGCCGCTGATCTGGCAGTACTAATGTGGACTAACAAGAATATTTTAGTGTTACTGCTGCTTTATTTTCTGTAAAGCTGTGCAAATATTTTAGAGTTCCTTTTGTTTTTCTCTTCCCCTCTAAACAGTCAAACCAACTAAAATATATCAGTCATAAAATAAAGACTTAGGTTTTTTAACCTCTGCCCTATAAGCTTTCCATTTTGACTGAGTATTAATAGGGTTTTAGTATAATGGACTTTTGAAATTACAGGCTATGTGGAATTAAGATACAAAGATCTATATTGGAAAAATGTGATCTTGAAGCCTCTCTGCTTTTGCTTCATTTATGGTCTCCCTTTTTCAAGATGAAGCATTCGAATTAGAAGAAAACAAGCTGTGAAATGTTTGGCAAATGAAAAGTGGGTCAAAAATGTCTCTTGGACATTGCCATGCTCAAGAATGTGCTTTTCTACTCCCTCCTTGCCTATTACACATTCTGACTGAATGCATCCTGCTGTCATGGACACATGAGGAATTATTCCAAACTGTGCCTCAGATGAAAGTTTGGTGAGTGCAACAGCAATTCAGTGCAACAGCTCAGCTGGAAAAGAGAGAAAGTATTGGTAGAGAAGGGCATGAAAAGGGTAACTGATAGTTAGCCATGTGGTCTGTTGGAAGGCAACTAAAACCCAGCTAGCACAGGCTTTGCCTGAAACTGCAACAGCTTTCCACCTGCTTTCAGTACCCAAAACAACCTTTAGCTCTCCTTCCTAGATAAAGGAGTAGTTTATTATTTGCATTTTTGAAGAATTGTACTTCCATATGCAATGCAAGCCCCATTCAGCCACTGAAGTTGTTCATGCAACTCTTCTCTGCTTTGTCACTCCTTGTGTATCCAAAAAAATCTTCAAATATATGCACTGAACTTATGTATTATGTATGTTGATACTATGAACATGAAGAAACTCAAATATATGTATCAGGCATTTGTCTTAATAATGACTCTGCACTCAAAGATCTAGCTTATGTTACTAACACCCAAGTGACCTTCATTTGATTTTGACAAGCATTTCTTCCCTGATACAGCTGCAATGACTGCTGGTCTTTATCAGGTCGTGAACAAAAGGACCTTGTCTCTGCATTGTGATGGTGGTGCAAGCTTTCTTTCGAACTGATTTCTTTGTGGATTGACATGGTCACTCAAATAGCTGAAACAAGTGAGAGGACCTGTGCCACATATACAAAGCTATACCATATATACCACGTATACCACATGCTGGAGGTGGCGCTAAATATGAGCCACAGGACTGACACATCTGTTGTGAACACTGTGAGAGCACCGAGCCCTGAGAGCACATGAAATACCACATGCCTGAGCACACCCTGTCTGGACTGCAGTGCCACAGACATGCTGATGGTGCACAGGCCAAAAAGAAAATATTCATGCACAAGGCATGGGACCTGCATAATTAGTGGGACTATATAATTAGTGATACCACAATTTACATTTCTTCAGAGAGATTTTTTCTCAGAGCTGTATACTTGCCTAGACTAGGAGTATTATGACTGAAAGTCTCTTTTATTGTCCAGTGCTGCATATGCCCTTCAGAGAAGAGACAGCCTAAGGATGCTATTCCACAGCCTGTTAGATGCAATTCCTCTTTGCTACCTCAAAGGGATTGCTTTTTCCTGCACTGACTGCACAAATCCATCTTTCCTCTCTCTTCTTTTACCAGCACTATCAGGAACACTAACGAGAGTACAAGAAAGCTGCAAGGCAATCCTTCTAGCAGAGCATTGTCTTAGGTCAGTTCAAAACACTTGGGAGAACATACCTTACAGGAAATTGTATAACTTTTCTATGTCTAAGGTAGTTAAAAATAATGTAATATAGTATAAAATAATGTAAAACAGAGAATGAAATTACTAAGAGACTTAAGTTTATTTACAACTTTGTTTAAAATGCATTTCAAATGAATGCAATCTATATTACTTATAATTATACCTAATTGAGATTCAAGTCACATCTCTGAAAACTCCTTGTCAGAGTAAAATGCTACAGTATCATAATTGGGATTGTCTATTTGAAAAACAGTTATGCTTAAAAACAGCATTATATGCTTACACTTTATAAAGTGTTACCTGAGCTGTCATGTAGTACTTCCATAACTAACAAAGGAAACAGGAAGTCTGTGAGCTGAAATTCCCTCTATCCAAGAAAACAGTGAAGAGAGTCAACTCCCCAACAATTGTAAAATGCATTAAATGTGTAAATCCATGTACCTTCATTCTAGTCCCAGTTAATTGCTGTTTTAGGATTCAGGGAAAAGTGGAGATCATTGCTTTTGCCTTGGCTCCATGTCTGCCCAATGGTTGAACACAATGAAAAGTATCAAAATTACAAATACA